ATTGAGGAGTTTTGAAAGATTATACAAGTGTATAGATGAATAGATACCATGTACATACGATCAACATCAGGTTGTACTTCTCTATAATAGATATGCGAAAATTCATCAGCAAAATGAAACCAACAATTTGATATAGATTGCTTATAGAACTACCTATCGACTGGAACGACATTTTATTTTATTCCGATGGGTATAAAAAACCATTGAGAAAATATTGAGAAGCATAATGTAAATAACAAGGTTCAAATTTTACGCGAGTTTGAGGTGTCAAGATAAAAATCTGAAATTATGTGAAATCCAGATTTTTATCATTGACACCTCAGATATAGTTTTAACAACAATCAACTGATTCAAACTGAATTAAATTCGAGCTGAATCTGTTTGAACTTTGTCTAAATCTGCATTACATTATTTACCTTTAACATTCACAAAATTTTCATTCATGATCTTTGCAATTTCTTCATTTTCGAAGGATTCATGAGCCTAATTTAGTTTGAATGCAATGTGACAATTATTACAAGATAAAAGTTACAAGATGATATTCCACTTACCATTACATGGCACCAGCTTCAATGAAAAAATAAATTAGAAATTAATTCCGATCAAAATAATAACGTGAAGTCATATGACCTGATTATCTACTAAAAAAGGATGACTTACTGGCATGTACTGTATCCGACACTTAGAAATATAGGTTTGTTTTCTTCACGAGCTTTCTTAAATGCTTCTTCTCCCCATGGGTACCAATCCACTACAATAAAAAAATTCAATAAAAAAGCAGCGTTTTTACATAAAAAAACATGTGAAACTTCTATCAGAAATAAAAGGTTCTTCTTACCTGGATTATCTGCATGTTGCTAGTAAGAAGCCGTCAATGAATAGTGTGTTAGTAAAAACATTTCGAGAGTGTATATTAGTGAAAAAGTTCCAAGCCCTCCAAGAAAACTTTCAGAAGGATTACATATTTATATAATCCCTTACGAATAACATAAACATACCAACAAATACGGACTTTTCTCTTTTGTCAAGCGGTTAGAATGGTGTTGGGTAGAAGCTGCCATTCTGAATGTTGAATTATTACTTAATAGTCGTCGTGTATAATTGGTTCTGGATAAGGAATATTGTTGATGTCGCGGAATAAAATTGTTCTGAACACTAAAAAATGAAAATTTTTCTGACACGAAAAACAGGCTAGACTAGAGAAGAGAATTGCGAATGTATTTATACCAAATTCTTAATATTTAAGCAGAAGGAAGAAGCCCGTCGGACAATTCTCGAAAAGACTAAAGTCATTCCAGTATTAGATAGAATATAATGGAAGTGTGTATATCAGAGCAGCGCGTATACACTGAAATTTTCCCGCACATCATTGGTGACTCATCTCATCATGACGTTATCGTTATCAAAACTGCGAGATAGATTTTTGAAGAGGGTTAGGCTTTACTTTGCCTTCTTTACCTACACCAAGCCCAATCGTCGTTTAGCGCAGACTGATTTATCAGCTTCAGTTACAGGAAGCTATTATTCTGTATACTTGATTGAAAAACTGAGAATCTCTTGTTTAGCAAACTGTTAAATTATCTCATCTACGAACTGGTAGCAAACGATCATTTTGAGAAGATTAGTTCTCAAATCTTTTAAAACAACGAGGTCTTAAAATCACAACAACCCCTTAAAACAATTTTTTTTTTGACTAAACCTTACAAAAAGTAATATTGCGCATATTTTTTCTCCTTTACAGATACTCCATTTCTTAATTAACTTTTTCCTCTCACCGTCTTAATTAATATTAATCTTTTTAATTTATTTATTTAATTTATTTTAATTTTTATTAGTTTTTTTTATATAATTTATAATTTTATATATATTTTTTTTTGCCCATCATGGAGCCAATTTTTTTGTTCTAAATGGAGAGCTTAATATTTAATTTTATAAATTTATTGTTGTTAATCACTAGTTCTCTGGGAACTGATACTCTCTGGTTTTTATATAACCATCATTATTTTATCTTTCGAACGTTTCCGATTTTGATTCGGAAAACTCGACAAAAATTTTCTTTATCACTTTCATCAACATCCTCAAATAATAAGCGTAATAATAGTGATAATATATATTATCAACACCCTTTTTATCCGCCAGATTTTTTATATCCTTTATTGTTAGCTTTATCACTTTCTACTATTATTGCATCAAGCAATTGGAATTATCTGTTACTGTTTTCGCCGCGTCAACCACATAATTCTCGTATAAACAACAACAACAATCATAATCAACAAAAAAGAAACATTACCATCACTAACACCAACAATATTGCTGCCTATAATCATTCAATTACACTACCACAACCATCATTATCGCAACAACAACGAAGATACCTGCGACATGAACGTCAACGCACCAGTCTTCATCCCACAAGGGAGTTCCAGCAGAATAAATCAATCATCTTCACCTTCTCGCTCTCAACGTTCTTCTGGCCGCACTTACTATCCTACACAGACCTCCACCCAACCTGACGTAAAGAGATCAAAGTCATCCCAAACTAATGGTATTTCTTACTTAAATTTATAAATTTATTCATTACGAAAATATCTGTGTCATGGTTCACATAATAAGATTACTATAATAACAAATATAATAGCTCGCGTAAATAAACGAAACGGCTCTCCTCGCAAAAACAATCATCAGAATAGTCAACGTTCTCATTCCAGCCAATCCAGTGCAAGCGATGAGTCTAACAGCAGCAACCACTCGGAGAAAAATGAATGGAATGCTACCGGCAGCTCCAATCATGGCGAAGTCAACACTGCTATTGATGATGATATCACGTCATCTATGAACAATTTGTCACCTCTTGATGCAGGACCAGCAGCGGCAGTATGTATTATTTTAATCCTTTTATCTATTTACAGATACTTTATTTAATAATTTTTCTAATATGGTGTTTTTTATTAATAGCCTCGCAATAAAGGAAAAATATATCTAAATCATCTATTGAATTTTACATTTCCGCCAAGACAACAACATTCCATTGTTAGCACTCCTCGAAGACAAAAAGTTGTCAATTATCAACCATATAATAAGGAGCGATTTATCAATGCAAAGTAAATATTTATATAATCCTTTTAATATTAATTAAATTGGAAAACAATTGTTTTTTTATCATTAATTTATTAATGATTTTTCTATTTAAAGTTTCCGTTTTCTAGTTAATTCAACGGGTGATTACACGGTTTACCAATTTGACCCAGGTGAGATGAAAAATAGATATTAGGTTTCAACTTTATTACTTTACCCTGCATTTTTCAACTTACATTAATTTATAATAGATATTTTGCTCAACTGGCAAGATATTGAGCAAGTGGTGAGTTGAATTTCAAATATCTCATGTTGATAATCAAAATCTCGAATTCAAAACTAAATTTCTTTAATAAAAAATAATTTTTAGATAATCACAAATCCAACAACACCCAGTTGTCCTATCTGTCTTCAAAAACCCACCGCTGCGCGTGTAACAAAATGTGGACACGCTTACTGCCTCGCTTGCATCTTACATTATTTGGAATTGAAGAACGACCCAACGAAGAAATGGCGCAAATGCCCAATTTGTTGGGATGCAGTATACGCCAAAGATCTAAAGAGCGTTCAATTTATGATCGTGAAGAATTTGGGCAAGATTGGCGATGGTGGTGTCCCAAAAAATGATGATGCAACTATTACTATGAAATTAATACAGCGCCCAATGGTAAGAAAATAGTATATTAAGGTGATTTATACTTATTATTAATTTTCCTTCAAAACAATTCAAGAACTCAACAGTTGCTTTACCACGTTCATCCACTTGGCCATTCACTGATGACTCTTACAAAACTTCACCACCTTGGCATTTCACCCCTAACGCCTCGTTATTCTCAAAATTGATGCTCGCATCAATCGATTATTTGCAAGGCGAGTATCAACGCGATTTAGATGAATTGGAAAACGCGTTGCTCGAGGCAAAAACGATGAATTATCATGAAGAAATTCCGTTTATTGAAATGGCTATTCAAAGTGTAAAAGTACGTAGGATAATAATATATTAACTATTAGCACATTTGGTTTTTATTATATTCCTTGTGAATTTTCTCTTTTTGAATGAAGTTTTTAACTTTTATTTACTGTAGGAACAATCGAGTCTTCTTGAACAACGCTCGAAGCTGGATATTGCTATGGCTGAGAAGCGTGTCCAGGAAATTATTGCCAGATCTGATGCAAAACCCCTGAATGATGAAATTCATCAAGGAAATCATCGTTCTTCGCTGTTACATACAAGCGAAAATTCGGTTAGTGTCATTTATTTAATTATTGCTCCCTTTAAATCTCTTTGCGTATATTTATACCAATTTTGCTAAATAATATAGAGCGAATCGAAAGACGCAGCTTCTAATAATGACAATTATCCCAAAGCAAATTCAACTAATTCGCAAAATGACGCTCCAGAATCACCAATTACTCAACCAAAATTCGAAGAAATTATTTCAGCTTCAAATTTCCATACACAAGAATTCACAAAAGAACCCCATACATCTTCTCATCCTAATAATACTACTATCACTCAAACTGAAAACAAAGATTCAGAAACCTCTGGAAAAGTTCACGCAGCAGCTCTTCCAATCTCGATATCTGGCAAAAGTCCTGTATTGTCCGACGGAATGTATTACTTTTATCAGTCGGAAGATGGACAACGTATATATTTACATCCGTTAGATATTCGTATTCTGAAGCACGAGTTTGAACATTACGAGAATTTCCCGAATGAGATTTCGGTGCGCGTAATTGGTGTTGAAGAGAGTACTATGACTGAAGTAATTATGATGTTTAAAATTGCATGTAGAAGTTATGCTCTCTTATATAATGAATTTATTCTTTCTGAATAGGAACTTCGTAAACGTTGCAAATATCTCGGTCATTTGCCCTTAAGTTGTGATGTAACTTTTCTTGAAGTGGATTTGAGTGGCGTAGTATCCGATAAAACTTTAGAATTCTTTGCGAGTAAGTTACATCCTCCTTATTATTCACTAAATGTTTTAGCAATACTTTTTGACGTCTTTCATATATTTTATCATCAACAGATGAAATTCAACAACGTCAAAACCGTCGAAAAGAAAAAGTTCTTCAAGAAAAGCGACAACACGAATACGCAACCTTGAAAGAACAAGAAATTCTCAATTCTGATCCATTCTATCAATCGGTCTATTCGCAACTAACCGATGATGTTGCGATTGCTCGTGGTACTTCTCCCGAGCACGAGACATTTAACTCGTTCGTCGATATTTCTGGTAATAACCTGACTAATTCTTTTGACCCTGTACCTGGAATCAGCAATCATGGTAGCGCTAATAATAGCGGTGACCAAGAAGAATATACTGGACCAAAAACTGTCTGGGGAACTCCCGCTTTTTCATTCGCTAGTGTAGTTAGCGGTCGCGCAGAAGAGCATCATGGCGATCATGATGGATTGTACGATGACATTTATTATGATGATTGGGATTCGCAAGTAGTGTCGCTTGGCAAGAAACAGAAAAAGAAAAAATTGATTCTTTTATCTAATGGAGGGTTACGAAAGAGGTAGTAACATTTATGGTGATAATAGCGACAAGAGCTCATTTTTTATTAGATAATTTCAAAATTAAACAGTTCAAAAAATATCAAAAACATAATTTATTTTTTAATTTTAATCTTTTTTTCGTTTTTTGTTTGTATTCAATTCTTTAACATTAATTCCTAATTAAAAGAAATTTGGAGATAATAAAACATGGATCAATCATATCGAAAGAACAAATGGTGCATTAAAAATAAAAATCATGAGCTATTATCGAGATTCTATGATAATTAGCACTAATTAATGAAGAGGTTAAGCTTCTCCACTCAACAATATATCACTTCAGAAGAAAAAAAAGGACTTGACAGGATTTGGAGGTTTTATGCAAAATCAAGAATTTATGGTCAAATAGTAGAGATGCGTTTTACAAATACATCGGCACGCGAATATATAATTTGAGCTCGGTTCCGGATCAGGATGCGCAA